CCCTCTCCCCCTCCCTCCCTCCCTCTCACTCTCTCACTCTCACATAGACATACAGGAGTGGGATTCAACCGGTGTTACTACCGGTTCAGTGACTACGTTTTAAATGCTGCGGGTGCATGTAAAAACCTTAAGCTGAAAAGCACTGTGTGCAGGTGCACAGCGTTTGAAAAGCCACTTTTTTTTTCTGCTTTTTCAACCTCAGCTATGCTGCGCAAAGCAGCTGAGGTTGAAAAAGCAGGAAATAAAGGACAGTAAGAGCCCAGGCGGGCAGGTGGGCCAAACGCCAGCAAACACAGAACCGGTTTGGTGTCTGCTGCTCTTCAGAGCTACCAGTTCTATAGACCTAAGTAGAACCGATAGCATCCCACCCCGTGTATATATATATGTATATATTTCAGAATCCATGCACTCCCATATAGCCACAGCTTAATCAGTTTAAAATATTTAAGGTTTTTCTCCCCTCAATGCTGCAGTTTCTCTGAAATAACTCAGTTTGCCAATTTTTTGTGGAGCAAATAAACCATGTTGTAGTGTACCTTAATTATTTTGTGATTAAATAATAATGTAATACTTCGTAGTAATTTAGAGAGAAAAACTAGCAGAGATAGTTGGTAATGTCCAAACTTTCTAAGAGTTTGATGTATTTATTACTTAAACATATTTTTATTGGGCACACTGGTCACCTGCAAAGTAGATCTCAAATGAGCCTATAATCTCTTAGATCTAGTATTACATTATCTTCAAAAGGAAATTTTGTCAAATTACAATTTGTTTTGATGATATTTTAAAGACTCGGGTAGAATGTGTGGCTATGAAACTTCAAATCACTTTAAATAGGTTAAGGACTGTCGTTGATTTAGCTTAAAACTGCAAATACCTGTACGGGTTTCTTTTTTGTTGAAGTTCAGATTGTGTTTCCCGATTGCTGATAAAGCAAAACTCGGTGTAAGTTATCATTTGAAGCATTCTTCAGGAATATTATTACTGTTTGACATTTAACTTTTATCTGAATCTAATTTCCCAAAATTCATAGTACTTTCCATAAACGTGCCTTTGTTTTTTAAAATACTAAGTCATATAGTTTTATAGAATTGAAGACTTACCTTTCATAGGAATTTGTAGGGAAAGCATGTGGTTTATATTTTTCAAATGGAATGATCAGTTTTTGCAGGAAGCCTATACAATTAAAAGTGGTTTACTTAAGGATGTGCCTACTTTCTGAACAGTGTTCATTTTAATTTCTACTTCTGTAACCTCTTCCTCTATAGAGTTTGAATTTGTGAACTAAATTTGCATATTAATGTGACTCCAATCAATGTGCATAAATATCACTAAAACAAATTCAAGCATAAATTTTGAGAAAATGGAAAACAGAAAAATGAAAATGTGTTTGAACTGCTGTTGTGTAGAGGTTTTTAACTTGTCACTTATCGATAGTTTATTCAGGGACTAGAAGTGTTTTTCTTTTGGCAGTTAATACCATATCGTTCCCCTTCCAGTTCACATTCAGTACTCAAGGTATATAATCTCACAACCATTTGTCTGGCTGATCATAAGTCTAGTTCTATTAATCTGACTTATGTTTGACCTCTGCACAGTAAGATTTCTTGAAGAAGACTATTACTAAATGTTCTCTTGTTCCTTCTTTTTCCTGTTCAACCTTCAAAGGTTGAAATAATATTTCATACTTTTGTGTCCTCTTCTTAATTGTGCAGATTAGAGTTGGAGGGAGAGGAGGGAAGACACTAGTTCCAAGTTAAAATTGACTTCTTAGAGGGCATCTTATTTAAGAGCTTGCCAGATTCTGATGATACTACTTGGTACAGTTTGTACCTTGTGATATACAACATATCTCCATTTCCTCTGCCCAGAACTTCTGGGTTGTTCATTATAGTTCCATAAACTAGGCTAATTAATGAGACAAAAATCCATAAATATTTACCTCTGATTTAACAGCTTGAGAAATCTCACTGTGTTCAGTGAAGGTTACTTCTAAATAAGAGTCTACAGAATTGCAGCACTTTTAGCAAGACTTTGAAATCTGATCCCCATTTTTGCCTATCCAGGCTCCCGATCCTGCTGTCTAAAGATTTGCGCCTTAGAATTTATATATGAAAGTATCTAATCTGCAACATCTTCACTTAAAGAGAATGTATAATACAGCAACCAATTTAATTTCACAAGACAGCATAAAGTATATGTGTGGTCTTTTAAAATTCAGCTGGATGGAGAAAACAGCTCAACTGCATTGTTGGGTAAAATGCTGATAAATGTTTCATGCTGTTAATTGCAAGTGCATTCTTGCTTATGACATTAAAGCAATTTTCTTTAAGATATCTTTTTTTAATTTGACAACAGCTGATTATTAATGTAAACAATATGCATGTTATCTAGCTGTGATGTCCTAAGTTTATATTTATACAAAGGTAGTATTTTTATTGAAATTTTTCCCAAGCTTAAAAATGTTTTTGCTCCTTTTTTTCCCTGCCAAAAGCTATGTCTTACTCAGGGTAGGACTTTGATAAAAATGAAACACCATTCTAAGTTTTAAGTCCTTCACTGTGCCTTTAATATTTTTTTTTATTTCACCCATTGTTCTGGGTGAGTGCCAGCTAACACTCCTTAATGCATGTAAGACAGCCTTCCTTCATTTTGAGCCGTTGTTCTTTAGGTGGTCTCCAGGCATGAGAACAGAATATCAACATCGGCAATTGTAATTTAAAAGGCAGGTGTAACTAAAAATAACTTGCTGCATTGGCCACCTGTTCCATTATATGCTGTGGTTCCCGGAGCTTAAAAAAAAATCAATAGAGCAACAATACATCATGAACACTTGCTCCAATTTATAGCATGCTGGTTGTGTGCAGGATTGGGGGAGCTGACAGTATTTTGATACAGAATAAAAAAACAGTTGAGATTCCTGCTTTCCTATACTTAAAAGAAATTTTGAAAGAAAGTTTAGTTCATTCACAAAGCTTACTGCTGACTTACTGCAGTCAGATTCTGAAAGGGGATTGATAGGGAAAGAGACCTTAATAACAAATGTTTTTCTCCTCCTTTCTGAATCTGAAGTATCCTGTGGACAAAATCAGCCCTTGATGCATAGGAGACAAATTCTGAATCTAACTTACTTCAGAGAATTCTACAAATATCACACATTGCTGAGTGTTTGGGTTGAACAGTGACCGCCATACGATGAAACCAGTGGTGGGATTCATTATTTTTTTTTACTACCGGTTCTGTGGGTGTAGCTTGGTGGGCCTGGCAGGGGAAGGATACTGTAAAATCTCCCGTCAGAGGTGGTATTTGCCAGTTCTCTGAACTACTCAAAATTTCCGCTACCGGTTCTCCAGAATTGGTCAGAACCTGCTGAATACCACCTCTGGATGAAACTCAATGTGAACTATAACGTGTGTCTTGAAACAAGTCATTGTAATATACTTCCCCTTTTTATATATAGCTTTATTAAAATTTTAAGACAGGACTCATGTTTAGATTAAAAAGAGGTGAAAGAAATAGGGAAAGAATAAAGGCAAAAGTTCAGAAAACAAAAGAGAGAAATCATTCTAAAAGACTTCTATCTTCACCCAGATCTTTGGTGAAAAAGAGGGAGATCCCTCACTTTGTTATGCTTGCCATCTTCTATCTTTATGTTTTATTAAATTTATTGTATTCCATTTGATTGTTGTGAGCTTCCCAGGGTCATTGTTGAGCAGGATACAAAGTTTTGTTGTTGTTA